TCGATCTCCTACATTTTGATTTTGTGGTATGCTGTGACTCACCATCTGTAGACATGTCATTGCAATTCTCTGGTTTTTGATAAAAGGAGAGATCTAATTTGGCACTAAAGAATTTGGAGTGGGAAATAGGTTATGGTTACAACAGTACCTTTGCTGTCTACCTCAAAAGTGACAGAATTATAAGAGATTTTGTATGAAAGGATTTTTAAAAATTGAAAATCTAAAGAAGTAATATACTGCACCATTATTAGTCTTTTCATTTCCTCAGAGAGAGGAAATGTGCTGGATTAGTGAAAAACTCAACTTCAATAGAGAGGAAAAATGAGCTTAATGAACGCAGAGCACTTTGGAACAGGTGACCAGTAAACTCCAGAGACCCATATGGTCTCACTTCATATAAAAGAAAAAAAAATTGGTTTACCTTAGATACTCTTCAGTAGTTCATTTTATCATAAAGAAAAGTAGTGTATAGTATGTGGAAAATGTACTGGTTTGGAGTGCTTTCCATTTTTCAGACATGAAACTCTGGAAGGGTCATTTAACCTACCTGATTCTTGGTTTTTCTCCTATATAATATGTATGGGTAGTCCGTTTTTCTGTATCAAAAGCCCGAATCACAGTGGCTTATAATAATAATAACAACACATTTACTCTCACTCAAGATACATGTCTGCTGATGTGTGGCTCAGCGATGGCTCTACTCCTGCAATGTCCCATATTTCTTATTCCCAGACCAAGGCTGAAAGGATCACCCCTGTGCTGGGCATGTCTATTATCATGGCTGAAAGAAAGGGCGAAGGGGCTGATGGATGCCTCTTACAGCATCTGCACAGTCCTGGCATAGGCCATGCCCACCACTATTCCAATGGCCAAAGAGAATCCCATGGCCAAGGCCAGCATCCATGGACCAGGAAAGTATATACTCCTCCCCAACCAGCCTACAAATCGCATAACCCTCTTACAGGGAAGGGGAGAAGTGAAAAAGAAGAGAGGAGAGATCTAATTAGTATTCCAAACCTTTGTGAGCCTCAAAAAGGAAAGGTTGTAACCTAACGGAGTCTCTACCAATGTAAGGATTGCTAGCATTGTTGGACAGACTGTTTTACTTTGGGGATAAAGTCCTTACATACCATTAAAACCCATTGCTTCTTCATTCTTACCACAAACTTCTGTAAACTTTTTAACCATTTCAGTTACAGTTTTTTAAGAGTTCCATATCTTGCCTTTTTCATGTTTTTAAAATGTTAGAAGTATGATCACTTATATTTTCTGCTGTAACTGTATTAAAACCCCTTTCAAGAACTACTTGGGCATCCAGAAGATTTTTTACTTTTTTTTCCCTGATGATTAAAGTGATGGTTAAAAATTCTCTTGTAGGAAATTTGGAGAATTTTGGAAGGATAAAGAAGACATTTTAAACATCAGCATTCAAATTCCTTAATATACACCTAGACCTACAAATACTAATCTTTACTAAATTGGACACTTAATAGTATATTCTTTGGGGAATGTTTTTCCACTTTACTATATGATGTTTGTGTGCATTTTTGCCAAGTAAATTTTTTTGAATCTAACATTTTGATATGCAGTATATATACAATCATGAAGCCCAATAATAAAACAAACACTCACGAGCCCACGACTCAACTTAAGAACTAGATTCTTACATGCCCTTGAAGTTACCTGTGTAACTCTCCTCTGCTCCTCTGCTGTTTTTTCCCTCCCATGGGTAACCCCTCTCCTCAAGTTTGTATGTTATATATTGTCATTAGCTGCTGCTTCCTCTTTTTCCTCTACCTCTTCTTCCTCTTCCTTTTCCCCCCCTTTTTTTTGCAGTGTTTTCACATATGTGTCTATCTCCAAACAGTGTATCTTTGTGTCTATCTCCAAATAATGTATCATGGAGCTTTGCTTCATTTTGAGCATTATAAAAATGATATCATACTGCATTATTTTTAGTGGTGAAATGGATATCACAAAATTAGTTTAAACTTTACTGTTAAATATTTAAAGAGTTAAATATTTAGAGAGCTGTTTTACAAAGAACTTGTACATTCATCTTCGTGTGTATCCCCAGGTATTTCTTTGGGAATAATTTCTAGAGGTGAAATTGCTGGGTTAAAAGGTTAGAACAGTTTTGAGGCTTTTTTTAAATACTGTACATCAGGAAATGTGTCCATCTAGATTTTAATAAATATTCAGAATTATGTGGCAGATAATTATAAATCATCTAGCTTTCCACTTTATTTTTTTTTAAGATTTTATTTATTTATTTATTCATGAGAGACAGAGAGAGAGGGGCAGAGACACAGGCAGAGGGAGAAGCAGTCTCCACACAGGGAGCCCGACGTGGGACTCGATCCTGGGTCTCCAGGATCACACCCTGGGCTGCAGGCGGCGCCAAACCGCTGCACCACCAGGGCTACCCTAGCTTTCCACTTTAAAAAGCAGTAAGAATATACACAAATATGTCCCAGTGGCTTATTGTATTAAAAAGCCCCAAACTAAATTCTTCAATATTTCTGACTCCCTGAAATCTATTCTTATCACACTGATATTACTAATATCTTAGTTTCTAAGGCTAGAAACCTTAAAGACACCTTCTCTCTACTATCCCACTTCCATTTCAGCCACCCCACATTTGCCCTTAGTCCTCAGGTCCTGCTGTTTCTATCTCTACGAAGTCCCTTCAATCCATCCCTTCCCTTTCATTCTCACAGGCACTGCTCTACTGTGAACCCTGCTCATGTATTACGTGGCCCATCACAGAGCCTTTTAACTGGTTGCCTACCCACCTTCAGTCTCTTGCCTTTCTAATCCTTCCTTGCCTTCTAGTCCTTTCCTCTGTTACTTTCTTAAAACACAAATATATCTTAAAACTGAAACCAAAAATCTTTAATAGCTCTCCATTTGTCCATGTAATAAAATCCATGGTCCTCAGTTAAACCCCCAATCTAACTTAATCTACCTCTCCAACTTTGCTTCCTCATGATTCATCCTCCCTACCCCAGCCCACCCCACCCAAGAACTTTGTTTTTATATTCTAGCCAGCCTGGGCTACTTGTTCCCTATATATTTTTCCTGTTTTTTCTTGTTCTTGTTACTCCTTCAGCCTAAAATACCCTTCCTCTCCCACTCCTTTCCAGCCTGTTGAAATGCTACTCATGCTTCAAGCTTCCACTGAAATGCCAGCTCCTCCATGGAGTTTAACATCAATGTAAGTTATCATAGTTATACATAGATGAGTCAAGCGTGTTTGCTTCTCTTGAAATATTTTGTCAGAACTTGAAAAAAATAAGAGTTTTTACATTTGCTGGGTAAAAAATAATGCTGAATAGAAAAAGCAGAACACAGACCATATTAAACAGATCAATTATTATAAATAAAATTATGTATATAAAGTAAATGTATGTATATATGTATATGCTTCTACATGTGTATATCTACAGACACAGAGACTGTAGAAATACACTTGTTATTTATTAAGCTTAAGAAATTCTTTTGGGAACCAGGTAGGATGAGTACTTTTTTGGAAAAATTACTAATATAATGATACTTCTCAGGTTCATTTTCTTCCATTAGGATGCTTGCTTGGGCTTAAACAGGTTTCCATTTTGAGGCTGAACCATATACGGTCCAGTTGCAGCAGCCAGCCAGCCACCTCTCCTCCCCGGTCCAGTGTTGACCGACTGAGTTGGAGAGGCTGGTTTCCTTTGCCAATCTGTCTAGTCATAGTCACGGGTGATGAACAGTCCCCTCAACTGTAAAATGAAAACGTTGCACCAGATGACTGTTAGATGGATGAGTAGATGATCTTTAAGGTCCTTCTCAGCTCTCATTCTGAGATATTTTTTGCTCATGAGACAGAAAAATGCTAAAGGACAAAGTGCTGATTTGTTCTCTGCTCTGGCACCTTCACTGGTGTCAAGTAGCCAATTGCTCCTTTTATTAACTCTGAACTGCCAAAATATATCCTGTGGGAATTAATACATTTAGCTTCTGATTCAGGTGCACCACTACCTGTGTGGCTTTGGGTGTGCCCCTTTCTGTCACTGGGCCTCTTTTTGCTTATCTGTGAAATGATAAAGGTGAGGCTAGAAGCTCTTTAAGGTTCTTTAATATATTGTAATTTGATAATTGGTATGTGTGAAGTACCCAAGGATTTTCCCTTCTGTAATCAATAGCTCATGTTTCAAAGTTAAGAAATCAGTAGAATAGGACAATTCCCAGTATATTTTTCTCTTCATAGAATAGTATAGATAGTAAAGCAGAGCGTCACGGTATGCAAACAGATATGTATAATTGAGGATTATCCTGGTTCCATCACTTCAACTTACCATAATATTTTCTGTCATCATGTATATGTCTCCAGTCTTAAAATTGTTAACTTTAATAATGTAAACCAAAAAAATTTGAGGATATCTTTTTCAGAAATTAAAATGTTGGCATAGGTTTCAAATATCCACACTGATTTGAGTTAGCCTACTAGTAATACGATTTATCTTAAAATATCTGAACTTTAATAATCATTATAGATTTCTTTTTTTTTTCTTTTTAAGAGAATTCTTCCTGAAGAAGAGGGCCTCATTTTAATTTTCAGAGGACAAACTAATACTTGATATATGATACTTGATTCCAGAGTTGCTTCTGGCAATTGTTACTATTTAAACAAGTATTTCTTTTCTAGTAATTAGATTTTTTTTCATTTTGATGGGTAGTCATAAATATTAACCACCAGCAGTGCAGGAAATAATTTATATTCAAATTGTCAGACATCGCTCTGTGAACACATAAAATAATTTACATTTATTTAGAACCTTTTATCCTAAAGTGCTCTACATATATTTCTTTATAATCTGATTGCAAGCTATATATAGTACTTTCCTACCTGAAATAGGACAGCAACCAAAGTAGTTAAAATAAAGGATACAGCTTCAAAAAAGTAGAGGAAAGAAGGAAATGTGTATTTTACTTGTTCCTCTATGCTTTTATTCCTATAGGATTGGAGAATCCATGTTGACCAAATGCACCAACACAAAAGTGGAATAGAATCTGCTCTAAAGGAGACCAAGGTATGTGAATTACTTCAGGTGGATCAATGTACATTTACTCATCTATTGAACACCTGTTAAAGGAGAACATGAAAGAAAAAAATGAAAGAGTCCTTGCTTTTGAGGAGCTTACAGATTAAATGTACCATATTAAATTTCAACAGCTCTAACACTTAACTAACTAAAGAAAGATAATTTTATATCAAAGCAGTATAATATATATCTGATATATAGAGAGACACATATCTCTAATATGTATATATTTTATAATTATACAATATGTGTACAAATTATACAATTGCTATATAAAACATGTATACTGTATAATATATATATATACTATATACATACAGTTATACTATATGCAAATATATATATATTAGAGAAACATTTCATCATTCTTTCCTTTCTGAATCCCAACGGATAATAGAGCATCAGGCCAGCATGCTTAGAACCTACAACTTCCCCAGGCTTGCTGCTCTGCCAGAAATAAGGACTTTTTGGAGGATGCGACAAGGAAGCAAAGGTGGAAAGAGAAGTTATGGGTCCCAGGCTAGAGCTAGAAATTTAATGACTTACCTCCAACTGGAACATTCTAGTCATCTTTGAACTGTGCTACAAGAAAGTCGTGTTATTCTGTTACCTACTTTGATTGCAAATTTTATATAAAAGTAAATTCCACTCACGTACAATTTAGATATGCATAAGGACTAATGAATTGACTAACACTTCCAGGTGCTTTTTTATTTTAACATTCTGCCAAGTGTGACTAAAATATTTCTCATTACAGACTTCTTTTGCTATTGAAAATTTCAAGCTATCTTCTTTTTCACAAGTGGTTGGGAATTTGTGGGATGGATTGAAGGAAATTTAGCCTCTTTTATACTATTTTTGAAAAATGTATTTGTGAGTTCTTTTATCTACTAAAATCCTATGGAATTTCTAGGGATTTTTGGATAAACTTCATAATGAAATTAGTAGAACTCTGGAAAAGATCGGCAGCCGAGAAAAGTACATCAACAACCAGCTTGAGCATTTGGTTCAAGAATATCGTGCAGCCCAAGCCCAACTGAGTGAGGTAACTTAGGAATGATATCCAGGGATTTATTTCAGTTAATGACCTTAATTCCCAAACTTGACACAGCACTTTTCATTTGAGAATCATGAAATGCTTCTCCCAAACAGCAACACATGGATACTCTGCCCACTTTAGGAAGCCATGTGAGGCAGTAGAACTTGTCATCTCCATGTTACATGCAATAGAAATTATCTCCTAGAAGTCTTTAAATGCATTTCTTCTTTTGATTTAAATAAATGAAGGCATGTATTGTTGGGGAACATTGCTTAGAACAGGAACAGAGTGTCAGGACACCTGGTTTTGTTTCTTAGTCTGCCGTTAATTTACCCTGTGAGTAGGAGGAAAAAGAATAGTATGCATTTACATGTGTCAGAGGGAAAAGACATCATTGCCTTAATGGCTTACAGCCACATAATAAAGAATATAAAAGCAAGACACGTTCAGAGACAAGCAGTTTAATTAATTTAATGAGCAAATTTTTTAATCCTTTCAGTGTTTTAGAATTTCAACCAAAAAAATAAAACCCTCAGCCTTTGGAAGCAGTGGTTCTTTGTACCCCAGTAGGGATCTAAAGGCTTTCCTTGGGAGTTATGCCCCCTCTTTCCTGATGTTGAGGAAGGCTAGTAAGAACACTTAGAAATGCTAGTTGAAGAGTTTTTTATTTTTCTTTCAGCAAATAAGGTTAGAGGAAGGGAAAAAATGGAAATCAACTTAAGATACTTCTGTACTTTCAGAAGTTCTCAAAGACCAAACAGAAAACAATCTTTGCTTTTTTATTATATTATTTATTTAACAAATTATTCCCTCATATACATATATACTCATGGATGTTTTTACTTTCAAAATGCTGTAAAAAGTCTGATTAAAACCACTGTCAAACACTGATACTAAATAATTGTTAGATTAGTTCCCAAGAACATATTCTGTACTGTCATACCATTTGTTAATCCTTATTAATTGCTTATCCTGATGCTCTGTTATGATTGATTTTTTGAACTGGTTTTCTCTGCATAGCATGCAAATTACATCGACCAAGAGCTGCTCTCCTAAACTGTGTAGGAATAGCTGAGGACAGTTTTTATTGTGAACCATGCCCGTGTGAGTTACACAGTCAGTATATGAAGGTTAAGGTAGTTTATCATTTTATAGTGCCTTAGTTTAAATACATCGCGCCTATTAGGGACATAAAAAAGCTACAGTTAAATGTCACTTTCACAAATGTATTCACAAATGGGGGGGGCTGTCATAAAATGATATGCAGAAATCGCAAACACAAAGAGGTCACATTTAAGTAATCTGCTTCTGTTGTGAATTTGTCATTAAACAAAATGTTTTCTCCCTTAGGCACGGGAGCGATACCAGCAGGGTAATGGCGGAGTAACGGAAAGGACCAAGCTCCTGTCTGAGGTGCACACCACGCTCTCGCCCTCTCCTCGCCCTCAGCTGCACCCTGGCCCCGGCCATGCAGAGTCATTGTGGTTTAATACTGCTCCAACCAGGCGCTCTTTATTTCAGTAACTGCTTCCTGTGGCTCTGAGTCCTTTTCTTTAGGAGAAAATCCTTAGTTTTCTTATCAATGAATCAATTACCTATTTATATACTTCTTATTTCCATAAAGTGCCTGAAGTTGTTTTATTAAATTCAACATAGAACCTGTTGATAATATTAGCACATTTATAACCTTCCTTAATCTTTTTAAAAGCAGAGTAATCATGATTAATACATAGAAGAGTAAGTAAAGCACTGGCTTAAATGTCTTATAATTAATTTTAATGTTAGTCTGTAAGATATAAGATCTGTTTTTAGTGATTGGAGCTGATGTATGTGATCCTAAGTATTTCTGTCTACAAACTGGAAGTGGCTATCCTTCTGAGAACTTCTGAAATATTTGCATATATTGTTGCATTGATTTTCATCATCACACAAGGGGGTACAATCTAATATATATTCCAATTTTTTACTGAAGAGCCGGGAGAAAAAAAATTCTTACAAGGTCAATAGCCAATGTACAAGAGTGTCTTTGGTTATAATCCAGTGTAATTGTCACAGACATTTTCTATATAATAGAATTAAGCTTCTTTTATAGAGATTATTATAGAGATTATTTGAGGCATAAATAGTTATTTTAGAATACTAAAAGTATAAGTTTAGAAATATTTAGACTGTAATCCTGTGGTGCTTCTAGGCAAATAGAACATTATGTAGAAGTAAAGTGCTCACTTACGTTAGGTAAATTAACACTTGAAGGGAGTCCAGGGACCCATTTAGTTCTTTTGGAGGAGGTAGTTATCCCCAGTTGTAACATTGCAGGTGCCTAAAAAAAAATTAATTTGCTTTACTTGGATGAGCACTTTATTCCCAAGGAAGTTTTTACTCACCAGTATGATAAAAATAAAGCCTAGTAAGTTACAATAATTATGGCTTAGTTCTAGGTCATATAATTTTTAAAAAAAAAAAAAACTTTTAAAGCTAATATTCTAGGTTGGAATTTTACTAATAGAGGCTATAGTAGTGTAATTTTGAATATGACGTACAATACAGCTAAGAGCCAATATGACACCACAATATGCCTCTTGGAGTTCATGGTTTGGATAGAGCAGTTGGAATATTTTTATATACAGCCATATGGTATAAACGTTATTTTTAGCATCCTATACAGGAAAAGATGGCATCTTCTCTTATAAAACTATAATATTAAGAAAGATACCTAGTAAGCCTTAGAAATCCAAAATCTTCTCAGAATGTATATACTGTTTTAATTAATAACTCATTATTAAAGACTGGCAAGGTTGGGATGCCTGGATGGCTCAGTCCATTGAGTGTCTGACTCTTGATTTCAGCTCAGGTCATAATCTTAAGGTTGTGAGACAGAGCTCCAAGTCAGGCGTGGAGATTCTCTCGCTCTCCCTCTGTCCCTCTCTATCCCACCCCACATCCCTGCTCTCTTTTTCTCTCTAAAAAGAAAAAAAAAAAAAGGACTGGCATGGTAGATTCTAGGAGATAACTACAAGGTTTGCATGTCTGATGCCTAAAACAACAACTTAGATCAGTTTTTATTGTCATGTGACAAACTGAAAACATCATTTGGTGAAGTTTAATGTTAGGAGCACTCTCAGAAGATAAAAAGCTTTGTCTCTCTCCTCTTTTATTATTCAAATTATGTCCAGAACACTCCTAATATGTTTATGTCCCTTTATGGATGTATTAGATCTATATTTTTTAATATATCATTCAATAATTTTGAAAGCTTATTAAATCTAGAGCTCATGAAAAAAATTTTTTTTCAATTAAAGGTGACAGAAGAACTAGAAAAGGTAAAGCAAGAAATGGAAGAAAAAGGCAGCAGCATGACTGACGGTGGTGAGTACACACCCATCCTAAGGGGAAAACTAGCGAGAGTATTTCTCAAGAAATCTATTTAACAAAATGCTATTAATAAACAAGGAATCTGCTTTTTAAAATGAATTTGAGGAGAGGTAGGGAAGTGGTGCAAAAATGATGTCTGATAATCCATGTACTATTTTCCTTATCAATCAGCTGAGAAGAGTCCTACTTTTTTTTTTTTTTTACCCTTATTTAGGATTTTTTTATTTGGACTGCATTGATTCAGAGATAGAGTAGGAAATACTTAAATATATACTTTGTTATTCAAATTTTTAAAAAATGGTATTTTCTGTTTTCATCAAATGAGCTTCATTATTCCATTTTATGTGCAGAAGAGCACTAAGTGTGTGCCCCAATGGCACGAAGGCAGCGATGGGACGACCTTTGTTTTTTTTTTCCTCTCCCCGCAGTGGACCTGACTGGGCAGAGGGGTCAAATAGAGAAGAATTAATAACCCTCTAGTATTCATGGTCCGTTGTGAGCTACTTACTTTGACATGGCCCTGGGTGATTGCCTAAGGCCCTTCTGTGTTCTAGAAAGATTTTCCAGAGTTCTGATGATACTGAATGCTCCTTCAAAAGGGAACATATAGAGGTTTTGCAGTATGTTTAAATGAGCCCATTATCTATATCCTGCAGGTAATTTTTTCTTCCTTTTTTTCCCATCGTGTCCCCTTCCTTCAGACAAATATTCCAGCCCATAAAAGTTATTAAAGACATCCTTAAATATCCCTTTAGCTAGCAACTCTTCCCTGAGAAAAGGAAAGAAATTCAACCTCAGTACATCAAACTCTGCATCATTTCCCATCCTAAAAATCTCAGGTGTTTAAAATACCACAGCAAAATTGTGTGAATGTCAGTATGTTGTTGGCTGTGTTTTTAACCCTATTTTTGGCTTAAGACAAAGTGAGGAAAATGTCATACAATTCTGTAATACACTGATACTCCAAATGAACATTTTTATTGCATCTTATTTTCATTCTGCAGCTCCCTTGGTAAAGATTAAACAGAGCTTAACAAAGCTGAAGCAAGAAACCGTTCAGATGGACATCAGAATTGGTGTTGTAGAACACACATTACTCCAATCAAAACTCAAGGAGAAGTCCAACATGACTAGGGACATGCATGCAACAATCATTCCAGAATCTTCAGTAGGCTCTTATTAAAACATACTGGTTTTCATGCTTTTGATTAGTTGTTTTTTTATATCAAAGTGTATTTCATGTCACATAGATTTCAAAACACAATTATACCTCCTAAAGCATGTTCAGTGGGTATTTGTTTACATATATATGCATGCATTTGTATCATGGTGATTATGGATAGTTAAAGCCTTTAAATTGAATATAATATTTAATAAAGTAATTAAAAATTCTCACTTTCAAAGAAGCTTTCACCTATCATTACAGATGTTAAAACCCCCACCTGGTGGCATATTTTTCTTATTGTTCTTGTGTAAGTCAGTGTACATGACCCATGCTGTCTGTAGCGGCTGCTGTTGCTGTCACCACATGGACCTTTGCACCAGCCTGGCACCTTCAGTTTGGTCCACCTCTGCAAGGATCTCAAGTGCTTCTGTGCCCAGAGGCAGCTAATGAGGGATGAGGATCCTTTTAAGAATCCGAATTACCCTTGCCTCAGCTTTATTACCTAGAATTATATTTCTTTAGAAAAAATATGAAAAACTCTAGTGTCTTTACTAACATTTGAAGTTTATTAACTATTGTATTTCATGACTAAAATGATTTTATTTTTTCTCTAAGGCCACCAAATAAATAAATAAATAAATAAACAAACAAACAAACATTTCAGTCATGTTTGACTCTGTAGTGACAAAAAAGGCACATACATGTCTCAGTTCTATTTTTTTCTGTTGTATCGGCTGTACTGAAGAATCATTTTGCAGCACAACAGGAGACAGCAAGACAAGTGAAGATCAGCTTCCCAGTGCTGATAATCTTTACTTACACATCTTACTGAACAACCTTGTAGTCTGGGACTTTGTTTTTTTTTTTTTTTAAAGATTTTATTTATTTATTCATGATAGACACACACACACACAGAGGCAGAGACACAGGCAGAGGGAGAAGCAGGCTCCATGCTGGGAGCCCAACGGGACTCGATCCCGGGACTCCAGGATCACACTCTGGGCCAAAGGCAGGCGTTGAACCACTGAGCCACCCAAGGATCCCCTAGTCTGGGACTTTAAATTGGTGAAATAGGCAATATTAGAGTGACCAGACTTAAACACTGGGGGAGACTGGTAAGGAGAGCACAAACCAGAAGATAGCCCTCATTTATGCTTTAAAAAGAAGGAAAAAGGGGTGCCTAGGTGGCTCAGCCAGTTAAGCATCTGCCTTCAGCTCAGAACTCTGGGATTGAGCCCCAAGTCGAGTTCCCTGCTCAATGGAGAGTCTACTTCTACCACTGCCTCTGCCCCTCCTCCCAGTCATGCACTCGTGCTCTCTCTCAAGTAAAATCTTTAAAAAGAAGAAGAAAAAGAAATCTAGTAGTAGCTTTTCATGAGAATCCTATATATACATAGGACAACAAAAATAATAAAATCCCTTTCTCAAATTTTATCCTAATATTTTCTCCCCCCTATTTTTTGCTTTAGTCTTTCCTTTGCAGATCACACACACACACACACACACACACACACACACACACACACAAATTTTTTCCCTCCTTCATTCTCTTCTTGAGTTTAAGCTCAGATAAAAGAAAATCAGTATGCATAAACTATTCTGTGGCTCAAGAGGATGACAATAAATGCAATGGCAAATAAGTCATTTCATTTAGTTTGTGATAATAGGCAGTTTGAAAAAAAATCCAATATTTTTTTTCCTTTATTTTATGTTCATTGGGGCCTAGAGGAGGGAAACCCAAACTTGGGTTCCACAAGCGAACACTGATTCTCTTGGAACTTACTTGCATAGGTGTTGTCATGGCCGCACAGTTTTTTGATGAATTCCATCAATGCAGAGAATCCTTCTAAATAAATCAGCTCTCCATAAAATGTACTTTTGCTCAGAAGCAAAGTACACTCTTTACTTTGTGGAAACATGCACTAATCTAACAACTCTTCTAGGAAGTAGTATGGGCAACCTATTTTTATTTTCTTCTCCGAAGTAATCAGTTTACTCAGTTTGGGCTTGGTACCCCTCTTCTCTGTTCCCACAGAACACTGAATACCTCTACACAGAATATATTGCATTGTAATTATCTATTTTCTTCTACCTTCTCTCATAGACTAAGCTGCTTGAGAATAGGGAAAAAGTTTTTTTCATTTCCATATTTCTAGCCAAGTACCTAGCACACAGAGCATGAGTTTCTAAGAGGATGTTTGGATGACTGGCATTACCCAGTTCCAGAATGTCTCATAGTTCCTATTCTTCAGCATGGCGAATTTAATGACTTCAAGTCTGAGTTTTGACACAGTTTCGAGACAGTAATTGTAAATTATGTTTTTCCCCCTGTGGTATTGCTTTGGAATTGGAAGCATCAGTATGGGCACACGGTTCTTCAGATTAATAGAAATAAATTAATAATAAATTAATAAATAATTCAGATTAATAGAAATAAATATATAGAAATATATGCATACATACGTGCACGTATTTACTATTTCTGTCCTCTAAGAGGGCCTAGAGCAGTGACACCTCAGGGACAGTGAGAATGCCTCACACTCAGATCTTGGTTTTTAAATCTTCTACTTAAAAACAAAAAAACAGGTTTCTTAGGAGAATGATTCCTGGGCTGGGACAGGGAAAGCACAATATGAGCCAGAATATCTTGTTCCGCCAGAAAGCAAAGAAGTACTCAAAGAATGATGGGAAACTCGTCAAAGGACACAGACTGAGGGACGTCCCAACCAGCCAATCTGGGACAATTGAACATTAAAATAAATAATGATAGTAATGAATTATAACCTACAGAATAAAACAAGAAACCATGAGTCCATACAGGTAGAAATTGTTAAAATTAATGAAGGAATCCTCACTTTGAAAAATGGAGTCAGAAAGCCCTGAGGGGGAGCTCTCATGCACATACCACTTGTTGCAGCCTGCATAACCAGCAGAGAGAAGGAAGATAAAAATTATCTTGACAAGGAAAGACATTTTTCACATAGGAATTTCATTTTCTGCTTTTAAGAAAAAAAAAGGAAGATTCCCTTCTTGCCCCAGCAACAAAGCACTAACCATCACTCGCAGCCAATGAGAAACTGCCACAACCTTCAACTCTTGCTCTTCCCCTGTGAACTTCTGTAAAAATCAACCCTCCCCAATTTCCTCCTAAAACCTAGTAAAAGCTAACTTTCCTTTTGTCTCTTCAGACTTGCCTATGGTTCACAATAGCTTGCCTGTCCCATATTACAATTCCTCTGCTATTTCTAAATAAACTCATTTTGCTAGTAAAAATAACTTAGTATTTTATTTTTAATGTTGACAAAATAAGTGAATCAATGGACGAAGAGAGAGGTCTTCCTTACAATAGAATGACAGCTAATGTAAAAAGAATATAGCATTTAGAAATTGCCATCTGGCAATTAACCATAGTAGTAATTGTTTGGGGCAAGAGTCATCGAAAGATATATGAAAGGATTTCAATCCAAAATGGAACCGGAGGCTATGAAATGGGGACTCCCATCCATGTAGCTCTCAGAACAGAATTTGAGAACTGAGAGACTGATTTTTCATAAATGCCTGATTTATAGAAGACCAAGATTTATTCCTCTGAATAAACTCAATTTCCAGTAATTCAAGTTTGCCTCAGTTTACTTCTTCATTTAGGTTGACAAATGCTAAAACTACTAAGTGAAAGTTTAATGAAAATCTGAATATTTACATCGTCTCAAACTAAGTAAACTATTCCATGAAGAGAAAAAAATGATAACTTTACAGAAGAAAAACCTGGCAGACATTTTAAATGATCAAGAGTTAACGTCACTAGTAATGGAACAAATAGACATCATGTGTCTCCTGAGAAGGCAAACATCTATGGGGTTCCTTCTGAAAGTGCATAGCTTGAATCTATCATGAGGAAACATCAGACGAATCCAGTAGAGGGGCACTGTACAAAATGGCCTATATTCTGCAAAAATGGTAAGAGCATGAAAAACAAGAAACAGTGAGGAACTCCTCCAAAAGGAGACATTTACATGCAACAAGTGATTCCAGTTTGGATCCTGGAGCAAGAAAGACTTGTTGTTGTTGTTAGAAAAGGACATTATTGAGACAGGTAAAATTTGAATAAATTCTGTAGACTGAATAATAGTATTAATGTTAACTTTTAAACTATTTATACTATAGTTATATAGAGGAATATCCTTGTTTTTACCAAGACACATGAGTATTTGGAGGAGTATCCTATCAGTAACTTGCTCTCAAATGATTTGGGGGAGAAATATGTGAATGTGTATGTGTTTGTATAGTCACATATATGTAAAGAGAAGGATGATAATAAAATTTGGTGAATTGTTAATATTTTGGAAATCTGAAGGAAGGTCATATAGAAATCCATTGTATTTTTTTAAGGAGGTGCAGCTTTTTTTATTGCAGTATAATTAACATACAGTGTTACATTAGTTATAGGTATACAATATAATGATTCAGCGGTTCTATACATTACTCAGTGCTAATCAAAATAAGTGTACTCTTAATCCCGTTTATGTATTTCACCCAGCCCTTCTCTCTGCCTCTCCACTGGCAACTACCAGTTTGTTCTCTGTATTTGAGAGTATGTTCTTTAGTTTGTCTCCTGTTTTCTGTGCTTGGTTTTTTGTTGTTTCTCAAATTCCACATATGAGTGAAATCCTAGGTATTTGTCTTTCTTACCTGATTTATTTAATTTAGCATGATACCCTCTAGGTCCATCCATATTGTTGCAAACAACAAGATCTCATTCATTTTTATGGCTGAGTAATATTCCAAAGTTTATATATATATATATATATATATATATATATGTCACATCTTCTTTGTCCAGTCATCTATCTGTGGATACTTGGATTGCTTCCATATCTTGCCTATTATAAATACTGCTGCAGTAAAAATAAAAGTGCACAATCTTTTTAAATTAATGTCTTTGTATTCTTTGGGAAAATGCCCATTGCTGGAATTACTGGATCATGTGGTAATTCAATTTTTTTTTTATTTTTTGAGGAACCTCTGTACTGTTCTGCACAGTGGCTGTACCAATTTACATTCTCACCAACAGTGCACAAGTGTTCTTTTTTCTCCGTATCCTCACTAATACTTGTTATTTCATATGTTTTTTATTTTAGCCATTCTGACAGGTTGAAGGTGGTATCTCATTTGCATTTCTTTGGTGATTAGTGATGTTGAACATCTTTTCATGTGTCTGTTGGTCATCTGTATGTCTTCTCTGGAAAAATATCTAATCAGGTCCTCTGCCCATTTTAGGGCTTTTTTTTTTTGGTATTGAATTATTTAAGTTCTTTATATATTTTGGATATTAACCCTTTTCCATTATATTTTTTACTAATTATTCTGTAACACTGAAATTATCTCAAAATACAAAGTTTAAGAAATGATGGTTCTTGGAAATTATATGCTCTAAATAGAAGTCATCCTCCCTCTGAATCAAACAGGAAATCAACTTGTTCAAATAATATGACCTCCTCAATAAAATTATATGAACCACTGAACACATCTTCTATTCTTATAATCATCAATTCATTGACCAAATAGGAACAAAATTTCTAACAATTCTAAAGGAGGTTTTTTTTCTACTGCCCTCTAGCTTATCTAGGTCAGCAAAACCATGAGTTCAAGCTTCATTTTTTTTGAGGACTTCTCATCTCCATTGTGAATCTGCAAATAGTGAATATAGTTCCTTTTTTTTTTATTTTTTAGAAATATGTAATCACAGATTCCTTCCATCCAAGACCACACTCAGAGAATATAGATTTAGGTTTAGGAATGCACATGTGAAAATCAGTGTACAAATTTGAGATTACTTTCAACCTTTTATTAGAACCAGGGATCTGTGGAGGAATATGAGGAGACATGTGTCACTCTGGTTCATAACTCTCCCGCATGGATAATTAACATGCATGCAATGCTCTTTGAATGTCAGTAGACTTTGAGGATTTGGGAGACTTTGTAGAGAACCTAGGATGACATGGCCAAATGCATTTCTTCTTAAAACTCTTTCTTCTATGCCTGCCAAAAAGGCTTTTTGTTTTTCCTTTAAGGCAGTCTTTAATAATAATGTAATTATAGTAGTTAGAATGCACTGCCCTATTTTGTGGTCAAATAGCAACCACTGTCATAGCTTTACCTTTTCCAAAACTTAATGTGCCTAACAACACAGGCATAAATCCTAAAACTTTATATTTTAGAAGGAGAAATAGCATTTTAAAGAGTGAAAACAAAAAAAAGAGTGAAAACAAGTTTTCATTCACTAGTCTGTTTTTTTTTTTTTTTTGACAAGACTTTTTTAAAATATAGGAGGGGAAGACAAGAACCATGCTCATCTAAATGTGTCCTAAATAACAGTTCTCAAGTGTTAGATTTACATAATTGTGTGTATTTGATACAGACATGCAAAGTTCAAGCTTGTGATTCTCTGATTGATCATCAGTGCCTTATTTCATCCCTCCACAAAGCGTGGACCCCTCCACAAAGCATGGACCCCTCCACAAAGTGTGGACCCCTCCACGCTTTGTCCTTGTACTGCTAAGTACTACAAGGACACTTTCCAGCTCACCACCAGGCAGTACCCTAGAAACCATCACCTGTTCTTTCCCATCCCCCACTTGAGATGCTATGGCATAGGCTTAAAGCTCCTGTGCATAGCCCCTTCTCTGTGGGTCAGCAGTTCTCAACTAGTTACCATTTTCTTACTCTGAAAACATTCTCCAGGCTAGCAACATCTGAAGTTCCTACTTCTGCTTGGACATCAAAATCAAATAGGTGACTTCAACAACAACATGACAATTTCCCAGTCCTCTAACCCCTCAATTCTTACTTGATAGTTCTTAGGTGTGACTGAGAAGTCAGAAATACCAAAAAGCTGCTCAGATGACCCTGATGCAGCTAATCAAAGAATCACTTTGGGAAGTTACCACTCTAGAATCCCTGCCTCCCAGCAAACAGATAAAGCACCTTGATCAGAAGAGCTCTTTAAAAAGATGTCAACTAGTGTTTCTTAAAGTTTGGCCTGTGGTTGTGATTCCAAGTCTGCTAGTAAGTTTCTGCATGATGTTTAGGGCATCACTTATCCTCAGTGTCAATATTTCTTTTTTGGAAAGTTAAGAGTAGGACTAGAATATTCTGAATCCTTCTCATTCTAAAATTGCATGATTTAAAATCTTTAGCAGGCTCTCCTACACTATTTAAATAATTTGCAATGGTGTACCAGTTCCTAAGAGTTGATTGTCAGATATTTAGAAACTTTGAGAGCACTTGTTAAACTGTTGGTCGCTTTAAGCTGGCACATAATGGGAGTATTTATACCATGGAAATAGGAAAACACTAAAAATTAGGGCTTTAAGAAAACAAAAACAAAACAAAAAGTCAGTTAACCAGCACACCACTGATAAGAAGTATTATTATGTTCTGTAGAGCAGAACCAAATGCAGTAAATATATAACAGAATGTTTCACCATATTTTAAGGTAGATTATTATAGTACTAATTGAATTAGATCAGATTTGCAAATTGTTCTAAAAAATCATTAAGTCTCCATAAAGCCACTCAGTGTGTCAAATGTGCATCCCCTGTACCATTTTATTGATGTAACTTTACTGCCTTTCTAACTAAACCCAGTTCCTTTTACTGCCTCTCAAATCAATAGGCTAAAGCAGCCCAAGCATCTTCCTCACGATAGATTCAAAGATCATCATGCTTGTACAACTGAAAAAATGTAGAATGCACAACTAGTCCAATTACTTGCTATAAAAAAAACAACTAATTCAGTTCACTGCATCATTGATCCATTTAATTGTATAGCAGCTTCCTATTGATAACAGGAAATGTCCCTGACTCAACCATGCTGAAACTGAAACTGGCCAGTTTTCCACAACCATAAATTTCAATAATGAGTCTATATAATACACAGGGACTAAAAACCGTAGCCAGAGTTTATTACATTTTTCTTACTTTTTTTGACATATTTCCCTTGAATATGACCCGATTTCTCTTACGCTTCCTGGGCTTCGTTAGTCATTAAATGTTAGCCTATACTCATGTTCATGACTGGATATTTTATTTCAGATAGAGACTGTGACAGATTTTAAACTCCCTGTTCATTTGACTCTTGGAAACCATCCAGCAATCCACGAGCTTTATAGAAGTTGCTGCTGATTTAGAAGTGCCATCTTCATTCATATTTCTGACCTCTTCGTTTAGGCAGACGCCATTTAGTACACTTATGTAGTACAAATACAGCAAAAATGTAATGGATAACTACTATATTTTGAGCACAGTAGTAGGTGCTGAAGGAAATAAATAATCAGATATAATCTCTCCCTTCAAGAGCTCAGAGTCTAACGGCAAAGACATGTGCATTAATTAAAACATTATAATGGTAAGTTTCATAATAGAGAAATAAACTGAAGAGTAATGAGTTGGGTGAAGAAGTTATTCTGACTCAGAGGAAATAGACAAGAATTCCTAGAGTCGGTCCTTGATGGATGAGTAAGATTCTGGTAGCAAAGAAAAACAGGAAAGGCCATTCCAGGCAGAGGGAAAGACACGAAGTCATTGGAGTGGAGAGAGGCATTAAGGGATCAGATGGTGGAGAGGAAGAAATTGAGGTAAACTGGGAGGATAAAACGGAAGATCAAATGGAAGATTGTGAATGCCAAGATAAGGAGTCAAGAAGGAGAGGTGGTAAATCAGACATAATACAATAAAATATAATAGCAGACTCAGATACAGTAGAACACAGCTGAGGAGACATGAATCCACTGGGAGGAAAGGATGTTCCAGCCAGGTCTTTCAGAATTTTGCAAAATGGAAAGAGGAGAAGCAGCATTCCAGAAAGAGGGACTAACATGAGCAAAAGGCACAGATAATAATGATCGTTATAATCACTATGTTATGCCAAGCACTGTGCTAAGCATCAATATAATACCATGTTTTATTTTGCACCTCAGTAGGGGAGGTATTATTTCCCTTTTGCAGATATGAAACTGAGGTCCAGAGAAGCAAAGTAAAAGGCCCAAGACCACATAATAGTGGCCTCAGGATTTGAACCCATTATACCATAAGCCTTCAATCTGAGAAATATAAAGATATATGGTATGACATGGAAGGGCAAGAGTAAATCAGGTTGGTTATAGCATAATTTTTAAATCATGATTACAATTTATTGAGCAGTTACTGTGTCACAAGCTCAATAAATGGCATATGTATTATATTATCACAATACCTTGAAGAGAATATTGACCCAAATCACCTAACTAGTGGCAAACTTAGAAATTCTCGCCACACAAAATGTGCAGAGGGAGTTGAGGAGAGGAGGGAGAGAGGATGCCAGTCATGACTTTCTAGAGAGGTATCAGTGGAGAAGAGCAAGGAGGTTTGGCAGCTGTGGTTGGCAACTACACTATTCTATGTCTGGAGTGGGTAGGAGCTTGCAGAAGCTGAGACTGGGGACAGGACCAAGGATTAGAAATGCTTACCTGTAAGAACTGGCCAGAGGAAGGAAACTAAGGATTAGTCAGATAAATTAAAGGTAAGAGAAGAGAATGTAGTTTCTAATGTTTGCCTTTTTGTCTTTCTCCTTCATTTCCTGTGTATGATTTTTATTTTATATACTTATTTGTAATTGGAACAAACCTTCAAGAAGAAAACTCACTTCATCATAAAAGGATGGGTAATATGGCCTCCCTCCGGGGAGGTTCTGAGTATTAAATAGGATAATGTTTGCAATTGCATCTATTAGGTGCTCAGCGTGTGCTCATACTCACCATGTCTGGCCCACCTCCTTCCTTCCCTGGGCCTATATTCTTTAGCTTATGAATCCTTTGATCTTATCATCAAAATAGAAGCAGGTGTGATTACATTAGATGTGGTTGATTTCTACATATAGGCTTAATGGTGAGAG